GCTCACCGGCTGCCGGCGGGGATCAGCCAGATCCATCTTGTTCAGCACCAGGACGTGAGGGCGGATGCCCAGCGCCTCCTGCAGCGCGGGGTTACGGCCCGACAGCGGAATGTGGCTGCGCTAAGGACAGTGACTGGAAGAGCGTAGCGGGAGGGGGATGGAGAGGAGGTGAAGAGGGGCAAGGGTGGTCTGGAGGGACAAGGGACGGGGTTCTCCGGCAGCTGTGGAGGATATTCGAGCGTCGTGCACCTCCACGAGGCAGTCGGCGCGGCGCAGCGCCAGGCGCATCTGCCGCAGGCCTGCAGCACACAGCACAGCGCGGGGTGAGCGCTCGGTGGGCACGGTGGGGAACTCGACCCGCCGCGCTGCCGCCCCTCACCTTTCGCCATGTGCCGCGGGAACCACGAGGCCACATCGCGGCCGCCGAACTCGAAGCGCTCCCGGAACGTTCCCGGGCCCGTCCCCGCCGCCCTCAGCGCTGCCCACACCCGCATGGCTCCGGCGCGTCACTTCCGGCGCGACCGGAAACCGCCTCAGTGACAGCGATGGCGGAGCCGCCGCCGCCACTTGGGCCTCAGGGGGGCTCGGCCGCACCTCCCGGCGGCACGGGGAGTGCCGGGGCCCACGGCGTGTCCCCCGCGGGCCCCGGCACGCCCCCCGCGGGTGGGAGAGGGGATCCCTCCTCCGTCTCTGAGCCTCAGCCCCCTCGCCCACCCGGCCCGGAGGCTCCCCCGCGGCCAGGCCCGACGCAGGACCCGCTGGACGACCCCCGCTACACCATCTCCAGCACCAACTGGTATTAAACCAACAGCGCAGCCCCCGCTCCAGGGAGCCTCCCCCGCCGCACCCACCCCGCCACGGAGAGGAAGAAGCCGCCGGCGCGGAGGTTTCTCAATAAAGGAGACCGAAGGGCAAAGCACCGCGGTTTATTTTGCTGCCTCAGGACTGAGGCGCGGGGACGGGCGCCTGGAAGAGCTGGTTGAGCCGCTCGGCCTCTCGCCACCCCGAGAGCAGCGCCCCGTGGGTGGTGGAGTAGAAGGTGCGGTGCGTGGCCTCGCCGGCGAAGAGGAGCTGCAGGGGCTGCGGAGAGGCGGGGGGTGAGCACAGAGGCCGCGGGGCTGGGCTGGAACAGCCTCACCCCGCACTCCGGCACCCCGCGGGGGCACGGCCGCTTTAAAAACCCAGACCGGGCACTTTCCCTTCCTCAGGCACCCGGCCCGCGCCGTGAGGAGGCTGGGAAGGTGGGGAGGAGCCGCCTGTCCACGACTTTTGCGGGAATGCCCCCACCCCGGTGGAGCTCAGCGGGTGACCTGAGCGCTGGTGCACCCGCAGAGGGTGAGCAGCGCCACCTCCCTGTGCTCCCGCAGTGCCTGTCCCCACCGCCGCCCGTCTGTCCCCGCTGCACCCCCTGGGCTGAACCCTCACCCGGGGGTCGCGGGGGTCCTCGGGCAGGGGCTGTGCGAGCACATCGATGTCGTCCCCCGAGCTGCCGACGGCCACGTAGCTGTAGGAGCCGCGGGTGTAGGGAGCGCTGTGCCAGCGGGACCGGAGCACGCTCCTGGGCGCGGGCAGGTCGGGATTCCCTGCGGATGGGGCTCAGGGCTAGGACCGGGAGATGCCCCGGGGCGGCGGCGGGGCGGGCACCTGTCATCGTGCGCAGGACGCGGGTCATGGCGCTCAGCACCTCGGCGTCGCTCAGCGTCTCCATGTGCTCCGACTCCTTCCCCGCGATGAAGCCGCACAGGACGTGCCCGTGCCTGGGGCGGGAAGGCGGGGCTGAGAGCTCTGCCCCTCCCCGTGCCCACCAGAGGCCCGCATGCCCAAAATCCCCGGCCACCTACTGCTCTGGCGGCTGCAGCACCACGAATCCGATGAGCTTCTTGAACCAGTTGGCCTCCAGGTCAGCGTCGGGCTCCTCCAGCGGCGACTCGTCCTCCCACACCACTTCCAGGAGCTGGTGCTCGGGCTCCCAGAAAGGCTGCTCAAACTCCAGGAAGATCTTGTTGTTGGTGCCAAAGCCCAGGTTGCGAACGGCCTGCGCTTTCCGCTCGGGAAGGGGGGGCTGGAAGAATTCCTGGTGGTGCTCCTTGAGGAAACCTGCAGCCACAAGTTTGGGCAGGGAACGGGGCGGCTCTCAGCTGGGCTCCTAAATGGTGTCTGAGATGCTCTGACCTCCCCAAACCCCTTTCCAACCTCTTCCCAATGGGAGAGGGGAGGCTGGGAATGGGTTTAGGCAATCCCTGCCCTCCACTTGCCCATCTCCAACCGTGCCAGCTGGTCGGAGGGCAAGGGCAGGGCAAGGGAAGGTGTTGGTGTCCTCACCCAGCGGCACAGTGATGATGACATGGTCAGCAAGGAAGACATCTCCATCCTCGCACTCCACCCGGACGGGGAATACCCTGCCATCGTCCCCTTCCTCACGGAAGGACCCTTGCCAGTGGATGGTCCTCACCGCCTTGTTGAACAGGACGGTGCCCTCGGGCAGATCCGAGAGCAGGCGCTCGGCCAAGCTGCTGTAGCCTCTGTGGGAGGAGTCACCGCTGGGGACGGGCGGCCCCCGGAACGCTCCTCCGTGTGCCGCTCCGGAGCCCCGCGCTTACCCTGGGAAGGTGCAGTCCAGGCCGGGCAGCGACACGTACTCCCCGAAGGGCTCCAGGCCCACCAGGTCCATGCTGTGGGTCCCGCTGATGCAGCACTCCAGCTTGAGGCAGGCGGCGAGCACGGCCAGCTGCAGCCGCCGGGCATCCTCCTGGCCGCCCGCCATCGTGGGGACCGTCCGGGCGATCTCTGCCCGCACGTACTGGCCCACGCTGGGCCACGGAGGCTCCTTGGATCCCTGGAAAGCGCGGGTGGAGGCCAGGAGGGCGTAGAAGAGGTCGCGGGCTTCGCGCACTGCCTTGGGATTCAGCACCTTCCCCGAGCTGCCGTAGGTGACGGACGGCATCGGGGGGTGGCCCCCCGCCTCCACCTGCTGGTTCTCCTCCCGGGCGGCCTCCGGGCCCAGCAGGCCGTAGCGGGAGGCCAGGCAGAACACGGGATTTCCCGGCGAGGGGCCGTGGATCCAGTGTGCCCCCATCTCCGCCAGCCCCGACGCTGCCGGGAGGGAGAGCGGGTCACGCCGAGCCGTGCCCGTGGAGGAGCCCTCGGGGCGCAGCGGGACCCCCGGCGCTCCGTGCCCCCGGAACGGCCGGAGCCGGCGGGCCCCGCCGCGCCCCCGCTGCCCCCCGTGACCGGCTTCCGTTCGATCCCCGCGTGCTCACGGGACCGGCCACCCCCGCCACGTGTCCAGCCCACTCCGGACCGGCCCCACGGGCCGGGGGTCAGGTGCAGCAGCTCCCGCATCCCGGCACCGCCGCCCCCCGCCCCAGCCCGGGCCC